ATTCATCCCTCCCCCACCTCACTTCTGGGGGGCTTGAGAGTCACCCGGGTGTGCTTTGCTCATTCAACCTGGACTTTTAATTTGGCTTGATCTGGCTTATTGCATTGGTGGAGAAATATACTTCTGGGGAATCCAAAAATACTTATCACAAACATCACAGACAACATCAGCAGTTGGAGAAAGGTGTTTATTGGGGGTGAGGAAGCACACACATGCAGAAGACACACAGAGAAAAGACCCTCTGGAAAGCAGAGAGAGAATTCACAAAGCTGAGGAATCCTGTCTGTTCATGAGGGCTGGGTTTTTTTTTTTTTTTAAGTCTCTGAAGAATTTTCCTCCCATAATGTAGGGTTGGTCAGTTTGAAGAAAGATAGGGTTTTTGATTGGCCCATACTGTGGTGCAGCATGTCCTGATCTCGCCTTAAACCCCTTGAGCCAGTCCATTAGCAGGGGCCTTGCTGGAGGGAGAAAAAAATAAAACTAACAAAAACAAGTACAAGGACTTTGTTTTAAGCTACCAGGCTTTTGTCTCGAGTCATGAGGATAGGGAAGAAGCTGGCAATCCCGGCCCTGTCTGTCTGCTTACCAGCGAATCTGTCTAACTTCTCACCTCTCATCACTATTCCTTGGAATGGGATTCTGAGCTGTATAAAAAGAAGAAAGTGAGCTGAACCTGTGAGAGATTTTTTTCTGAAGTGGATGAATCTACTTCTAATATGGACCTTTGAGGTGGGAAGACACACACCTTTAATCTGGATCTTGAGACAGGAAGACATGCCTTTAATCTGGGCCACACCTTATGCTGGAAGCCCATATAAGGACATGAAAGAAGGAAGCTTTTTCTCTTTGCCTGCTTGCCCTTGTGTTGCTAGCACATCCATTCCTTCACTAGCATTGGAGCCTACTTCTTTAAGACTCCAGCATATACTGAAGACCAGCTGAGACATCCAGCCTCAGGGACTGAACAATTATTGGATTTTTGGACTTTCTGCTCACAGTCAGCCATTGTTGGATTAGCTGGACTGCAGCCTGTAACTCATTTCAACAAACCCCAATATATATATGAACACACACATACACACACACACACACACACACACACACACACACACACACTCATTTTATAAGTTCTGTTGCTCTAGAGAACACTGACTAATACAGTCCGCATTCCTGGTACCTGGAAGAGTTCCATGGTCATGAAAATAACCCCTGACACCTACCCTCCCTCTTCATACCTGAGGCTCATTCAGGGCTGTTCAGCATCACATGTCATTTTCTTTTTGGATGACTGCTCTTCTCCTTTTTAAATTGGTTTTACTACTTGTTTCTTCCCTTCTCCAGTGTTGTTTTCAAAATTGTCAACATAATTTTTCTGAAATACTCATTTTTATACTGCTTTCTCACTTAATAGTATACAATATCTTATTTCACATCAGATGAAATAGAAATATTTGTACCCTATATTTAAGACTTGTACTACTTAATTTTTCTTCAGTTATTTTTAAAATATATATGATATATATTTTTATTTTTAGATTTATTTATTTTAGTTTATGTGTATGAGTGATATGCCTACATGTATGTATATACACTGTATGCCTGCCTGGTGCCTATGGAAACCAGAAGAGGGTATCAGATCCTGTAGAACTGGAGTTACAGAAGGTTGTGAGCTGCTATGTGGGTGCTGGGAATCGAACACAGTTCTATGTAAGAGTAGCTCTGAACCACTGAACCATCTCTCCAGCCCCTTTCTGTTGTTATCACATCCATTTCTTTCACTTATCCTTGGATACATGCTTGATCTTGTCAGGTATTTCCCTGATCTCAGTTTCCTTCTTTTTCTAAGCTTGGGGCAGACAGATCAACAGACACACACAGCCACATACCCTTCCCGGCCACACACCCATTTTCCTCTTTTCAGAAGAGGTGAGGTGTTGCTTGGATCCTAATGGCTCCATCGGGGTAGGGGGTAAGAAGGCAGGTGTCAACAACACAGACACCTGGAGTCCATTGAAGGTAAATAATGAACTCCTTTATTCAATAACAGGAAAGGCCTTATATACCCTCCTCCCAGCACCCAGTCTGTGTGGTCGTCCCTCATTGGCTGGGCATAATCAGGAACTGACAGTGACCAGGAACTCTGACAACTCCTGTTGCTAGGCCCTCAGGCAGACTCCAGGTTGGCTCTTAAGGAGTACATTGTGTGCATTACTTGGCAACTGGTCTGAGCCAATTTCCTTGACCCTATGGGCCTGTCCTACTATAGTGAGGGTATTCCTGTTGCCATACCTTTGAGCTTCCTCAGTCTAAATCCACATTTTGTTTTAAATCACCCACATGATCCCACAGTGATCTGTATAATCTTGACGTGCTAGAGCAGTGGTTCTCAACCTAGGGTCAGACAACCTTTTCACAGGGGTCACCTAAGACCAGCCTGCATATCAGATATTTACATCATGGTTCATAACAGTAGCAAAATTGCAGATATGAAGTAGCAACAAAAATAATTTTATGATCAGAGGTTACCACAACATGAGGAACTGTATTAAAGGGTCTCAGCATTAGGAAGGTTGAGAACCACTGCCCTAGAGCTAGAAGGAAGGCTATTTGTTCTGGCCTCACATCCATTTGAGAACTATCTCCCAGCCCCCAGAATCTTTGGAAGATTCATTCTTCCCTCAACTCAGCATGAAGCAGTTCAAGAACATTGAACCTTTACCTTCAGCTCCTCTACTAAGTTAAGGAGAAAACTTTCCCTTGAGGAAGTTGAAACAGCAATCATATAGGATAGTTTAGCAACCTGAGACTCTACTTGATTTGGGCTATGCAAACCTTCCCTTCTAATAATGCACTTGGTAGCCTAGCTCCTTTACTTGCATGTACTCTACACATACCTCTCTCTGGAAAATGCACCTATCAACCTTGGACTTTCACCTGCATCTAGCTACACATATACCCTTCTATGAACAATGAGATAAGTTCCTGTCCTGCTAAAAACAATCACACTTAATTCCTATACAAATATAATCCCAATGCACCAAGGTACAAAAAATGGAATGTCAGATCTAGCCTGAACTGGTTTTGTATGCATGCACACCAAGACAAAACCGTGTTCTCAAGTAAAGCTTTAGGGAGAATCCCCTATTTACCACCATATACCTATGCATACTTGGGCATACGTATGATTGAAAGCAGAAGCATTATGTGTGCTGGATAGTTTTATGTCAACTTGACACAAGCTAAAGTCATCTGAGAGGAGGGAATCTCAAGAAAATGCCTCCATGGCCTAGTGGTGGTGCATGTCTTAATCCCAGCACTCGGGGCAGAGTCAGGCAGATCTCTGAGTTCAAGACCAGCCTGGTCTATAGAGCGAGTTCTGGGATAGCCAGGGCTACATTGAAAAACCTTGTCTCAAAAAACAAAACAAAACAAAAAACAAAACCCAACCAAACAAAAGAAGCCTCCATAAGATTGGGCTGCCGGCAAGTCTGTAGGGCATTTTCTTAATTAGTGGTTGATGGCAGAGGGCTCAGCCCACTGTGGGTGGTGCCATCCCTTGGCTGGTGGTTCTGGGTTCTATAAGAAAGCAGGCTGAGCAAGCCATGAGGAGCAAGCCATTAAGCAGCACTCCTGTATGGCCTCTGCATCAGCTCATGCCTCCAGGTTCCAAGTTCCTGTCCTGACTCCCTTTGATGATGATCTAGAAGTGTAAGCCACATAAACCGTGTCCTCACCAACTTGGTTTTGGTCGTGGTGTTTTGTCACAGCAATAGAAACCCTAACTAAGACATTATGGGAAGGTACATTTACATAAAAAATGATTTTGTGACTAATCTATCAATCAGAAAAGAGAACTGCTCATGCAGTTGGTAAATAATCCACTCCTCTTGAACTCTATCAAAGGATGCCCCAAACAATAACCAAGGTCCTTGAGTGCTTTCTCATGCAAGTGGCCCACTGTCAATATTGATGGTATATTTCTTTCTGATCTGTACTACTGATTTGCTTTTGGATAAAGTTTCTTTTCAGTATGAGCCCTTATCTCAATCCTTTGAATAGGCCCTGACCACAGGTAATATAATGATAGCGCCTTTGATTGTGGAATGAGATAGAACTCATTGAGCTCTGTGAGGATAGAAGTGATCTTGATCTTCTGGTAAGACAGTTCAAACAAGTTAACCACTCAGACTGGTGGTACACACTTGTTCCTTGAAAGATCTGAACAACCCCTTTATCATAGTCTAGATATGATGCTTTGATCATTCAGAACTTGATAAGTCATCACAAAAGCATGCTTTTCTCGCCAGTGCTGCTTATAAGGCCTTTAAGTTATTGAAATACATGTGTTTCTGCCTAGAAAATCCACTCACCACTAATATCCCTTAAGGTACTGGTAGTATGGCAAATTGAATGGAGTGTTTGAAGATTGCTGTCTCCTGGGGGAACAGAGATCAAAGGCCTTTTCTTCAGTGATGGTGGGTGTGATGACACAGTGTTACTGTCTGTTCTTCCTTCTCCCTTCTGAACAGGACTCCTGATTTTTAGTTTGGCAGGGGCTTGCTGAGAGCTGATAATGTCTCACACTGTCTCTCAACTTGTCATGATGTGACTAAATTCATGGCAATGGGTATGGAAGGATCTAAACTGCTAGGTTGTATTTTTTTAAAGATAAACTAGCATCCCCTTCTTCCTGACTTTTCCACCCTCCCACCAGCTGGCATGTGATTGCTAAGGTCGACTGTCTTCCTCCAAAGGAGAAGGCCAACACACTTGGGTGGAGAAGCAAGAATGTAGAAGGAATGTGGGGTAGTGACCAGGCTACAGAGGAGCTCTGGACTGCTTATCTACAGAGCTGTTACACTGAAGAGGAACGGACTGTCCTGTTTAAACAATGGTCGTTTTCAGCCCCGGGTTCGGTGGCTGATTACTACAATGGGTGATTAAAAACCACTTTAGGTTCCTACACTGTCAGTTGGGTGATGCAGACAAGACAAGAAACGTACTTTTAAAGATATTTAATGATCTGTTTTTCAAATCAGTACAAAAATTTAAATACAAAATTGATTTGCCATGAAGTCTCAAATCTGTTCATGGAAACTCAAACAAGTTACCAGTCTTTTCATCATTCTTTGTTTCTGTAAAATATTTGAGGACAGTTATCCTCTGCAGACATTCTTTTCCCCCGTGGGATGTCATGCTACTTTAAAACTCTGTGTTTAAATAAGAACAACGCCAGTTTGGTCCACTTCACATGGAAAAGCTCTACTTAATTTTTAATTAAACAGGGATCATAGTACTGTCCCTAGACTGTAGAACATACAGTTGTTTCATCTGTTTTCACACTAACGTGTTAACAGGATGCACAACGTTCAAAAGGGTACAACGGGTACATAGATAATTATTTAAAACTCTTCTTTAAATTAAATGGAGTATCATTTAGCTCTGATATTAGCACCATGGTAGAATATACAGTATCTGGCATAGATTTTGCTCCTCCTCCATTTAAAAGTTTAGAAGCATATGCCTGATATATGGTAACACACACACACACACACACACACACACACACACAGAGGCAATTGAGTAACAACCAATAAATAAGTTGGAAGATACCTCAAGAAGCAAAATTTGGTTTAACTTAAGAGATAATTTCTGTCTTTCTTTATGGAAACTAAAATACCATACATGTACAGATAAAAGCAACTTTACAACGCATCTGGCCTGACTGTCCTCCAAACCATTTCAATGTAGCCATTTAGTAGAAAGATCTCAGGGACCCATATGACTTCTACAGTCACTAGCTACAAGCCAGTGTCCTCAGGAGCAACCCAAAGGATAACTATTCACAGAAATGCTGTTTACTCTGCAAGTGAAGGCTAGGGTAGGACATCTTTTGGATGCGAAAGTGCTTTGTACAATTAATGAGAAACCTTGTGCTAATGAACTCATTTGTCTTAAAATTTGAGAAGAAATGGAGCCTGTATATCATAAAGGGAAAAGACAAATATTTAGCCAGGAGAAGAGAATTTGTGGTGGTAAAATTAATTCAGATTTGGAATTTACCATGTTTTATACTGTATTTATTTGTGTATTTTCCAGTCTATGTGTATCTCTTCAATTCCTGACTCTTAAGGTTTGAGGAACGTAGATTAGATCTATCACTGTAGCCCCACATTACTTCCCCAAACAACTAATAGCAAATGAATAGTCAACTTTCAAATGTTTGTGTTTTGAGCAATGCCCAAAGAACCTAGCATGTGCCTTAGTGAGAGCCTGAAGAACTGTTTCTCCTTTCAGACCTGTCTTGGCTGTGGTGCTGAGAGTGTGGTGACATAATAGGCATGGGCTGCCATTGCTTTATGACATTCCAGCTATCTCTTCCACAGGCCGATGTTAAAGAAACAGTCATTTCCCTACAATTTTAGTCCCGATATCTGGAAGCAACACACCTGCTTTTACATACCAAACATTATAATTACTCCTTTAAAATGTAATTATTTTTGTATTAATTCTGAATGTCTTTTTCCCAAATTAAAAAAAATGGCTTGGATTTTGTTAATTGACTTTGGAACCTCAGATGACATAAATCACATCTTTAAAATTCATAGTTACTGAAGAAAATCACAGCTACTAAAACACATACAGACAAATTGAAACCTGACTATGGGTTGTATGGGTTGTATGGACAAATTAGGGGGATTTTTTAATGCATGTAAACGTAACTGATAATTACTATTAATAGTAAAGGTTCATAAAATGGTAAAGCTATTTGAGGGAAGGTTCTTTAAAAAATTTGTTTATATTGTTTAGGCTATATTATAAATTACAGGAGGGAAGAAGAAAAGAAAATTAGGTTCCAGAGAAATGCCAAACTGAAACTCTTTAGAGGAGTTAATACATTAATCTCTCTGAGCTAAGTTCTGAACTCCTGTGGCCTCTGCCCTGTGTCACACACTAGCATCTCACCCAGTACTTGGCAAAGAGAGTGCTGAGCAAATACACAAGGGGCCATTGGCACATCTGCTCTTCTGGGGACGACCACAACACAATTTCGACTAGGGAGACCTGCCGCTAAAGCACAGCCTCTGAAATGGAGAAATATCCTTCGGACTAGAGATTACCATGGTCTTTGCACTACAGAACAACTCTCCAACATCCCACAGCAAAACATCTGCACAAAGAGAGGAAATTATGCAAATAAATACAGTATGTAACTCTCACCACTAACCTCTCAAGGCATATTAAAAAAAGAAAAGAAAAACCATTTTTTTTAAAGGGAGCACAAGGAATGTGTGACTTTCACTAGCTATGACCTTCCAGACTGACATATTTTGACTGATTTGAATAAGCAGGTTATGAAATCATATAACATGCAACAGCTAATATGAGTCCAGTGGGTACAACACAGGCGTCTGTATTTCATCCATAAATCTGTCCCATCATCCTGGTACAATCTGCTGTGTACAGTATTAAACATGCATCTTAGTTTTTATTTGTACATGATGGTCCAAACTTTCACTTAAATATAACTTTCCAACTACATAAGTGTTTTGAAGCATTGTTTTCAATTGTTTTTTTTAAATGTCATTTTCTTTTCTTCTATTAAATCTCTCTTGTTCTTCTTTTCTATTCTTTGTTTTACACGGGATACAATAAATATCCTGAAAAGGAGGAGTGGACATATTGCCCGGCGTAGAGTCCGGCAGCCTGTTCTGAGGGCATTTGGAGGAACACCCGGTCTCCGGGCCTGAGCAGCAGTACTGCACTCCCAGATGCCTGGTCCAGAAAGCCCTTCTTGTACTCGTCATATGTGTACATCATAGGCTCGTTGTTCTTGAAGAGAGCAACCCACACGTTGCCTCCTTTGCAGTGAACGTGGTAAGCAAAGTAGTAGACACCCGGGACTTCACAGGTGAAGATGCCCGTCTGCGGGTTGTAGTTCTGTCTGCCGTTGTACAGCAGCTTGTCAAACTTCACTGGGGCCCCCACCGGTGGGAAAGGTGCAGTCAGCTCTGCAGTAAACGCAGGCATCTCATAAGCTGGGCCCCCGTTCTTGCCCTTCTTGCCCGCATAGGCATGTGGAGGTTTCACTCCATCAATTCCTAGTCCCATATCTGGCAGATATTCTCCCTGGGGTGGCGGAGTAGGGGGCATCACAGCTGGGGGTCCTGGGGGCCCTGGAGGGCCTGGGGGCCCAGGAAGGCCAGGTTGGCCTTGAGGCCCAAGGGCACCAGGTTTCCCCGGGGGACCATGAAGTCCTGCTACTCCTGGTTTCCCTACACCGGGAAATCCAGGGGGCCCTGGGAGGCCTGGTTCTCCTTTGGGGCCCGGAATCCCAGGTGGTCCAATAGGGCCGCTCGGTCCTACAATCCCTGGAATCCCTGGGGGCCCCTGTAGACCCTGATCCCCGGGTATGCCTGGTTCTCCCTTGGGTCCAAGCAGCCCTGGAACTCCAGGAAGCCCTGGCAACCCTTTGTGACCAGCTTCCCCCTTGGGTCCTATAGGACCAGGCAAACCCCTCATGCCAGGGGGACCTACTTCACCAAGGAAACCCGGCTTCCCAGGGAAGCCTTGGAGTCCTGGCTCACCCTTGGGACCTGGTGGACCCTGTGGTCCTACAACCCCACCTTCTCCTTTGGGTCCAGGGAAACCAATAGCACCCGGAGGGCCCATGGGACCTGGGATTCCAGGAAGGCCAGGCTCTCCAGGGGGACCCCCCATTCCAGGAGCACCTACTGGTCCTTTTTCTCCTCTTGGCCCAAGAGCTCCAGGAACACCCCCGATGCCCCGGTCCCCTTTGGGTCCTGGGAATCCTGGCTTTCCGACCCCTGGGAGGCCTGGGGGTCCAGGCAACCCTGGCAGTCCTTGTTCTCCTTTACCACCTGGAAATCCTGGCTGGCCAGGGATCCCATCCTGGCCGGGCTTTCCAACTCCAGGCATCCCAGGAGGTCCTTGAACTCCCGGTACACCAATAAGACCTTGTGGTCCAGGTTCCCCTGGAGGGCCTGGCTTCCCCAGGGGACCCTGGGGTCCAGGGAAGCCTGTCACTCCTGGTTTTCCTACTCCTGGCAGCCCAACTGGGCCAGGAGGGCCATGCATACCTGGAGGACCCTTCAGACCTGGCAAGCCTGGCATCCCGAAGCCCTTCTCTCCTTTGGGACCCTGAAGACCAGGAGGTCCTGGTGGTCCTTTGGGCCCTCTCTCACCTTTTGCTCCTGGTTGCCCTGGTAACCCTGGCCCACCCGGTTTCCCGATGCCAGGAAGTCCATGAGGCCCTGGAGGTCCTTGTGGTCCTGGGATTCCCATAGGACCGATTTCACCTTTGGGTCCAATTTCGCCTTTTGCTCCAGGCATTCCCATGGCTCCTGGCTTCCCAGGCATTCCAGGCATACCCGGCTTCCCAATCCCTGGATATCCCTGTGGCCCTGGTTTTCCTTTGATTCCAGGCATTCCATGACCTGGCAAACCTGGTGGCCCAGGTGGTCCTCTCGGTCCAGGTTCTCCACGAGGACCTTGTTCTCCTCGCAAACTGGCTAAAGGTATTTCTCCTGGAAAAGTAGAGAAAGGAGGAGCGGGAGGTTGGTTATCTCTTATTTGTAGGAAGTAATAGCAGTCATCTAATTTTGACACATTTGCCTATTATGTTATCAAAAGGGAAGCTGAGAGAATACAGTCATCTTCCCAAACCTTCCCCTGTATGGTGCCAGTATTTAAAGGAAAATCAAGCGGGCAGTTTCTGCGACGTGTCTGAGTTGTTCTGAAAACTCTTATATGCAGATGCTTATGTCAGCACTGGCTAAATTTTAAAAGCCGAAAAATATCCAAACAAAAATTTTCCAAGTGCAAATGTTGAAGGTACTGTTGTGTGTTCATTATACAGAATTTGGGAAGGTCGAAGTTGTATACTGAAAGGAAAAACAACAACACGTCACCATTGAGCCCACAAAGCAGAGATATGTGCTTGACATGATTTTCATCTCATTTGGTTTTTTTTTTTTTTTTCCAGAAAAGGCTATTTTTTTATTCAAGTAACTGCAAATAGGAAACCAGAGGGGAGCCCCAGGCCGGGACAATACTGGCCACCCCTCCCCCACAGAACAAGGGGAGAAGGCGGGCCTACACCCTTTTCCCATCAAAATGGGCCCCCTCCTCACTCAGCTGCAGCATCCAAGGGGCAGCAGGGCCCCATTTTCCCTCATCTCATTTGTTTAAGGTACACATTTCTGTGTATGTTAGAGAATGCTGGAGTCACACTCCTTATTTTTAAAATTTTTCTACTTGAAGTTATATTGTATTTTTCCATGACCATCTTATCAACTGAAAGATTTCATTATAAATTGTCAAATTATATGTTTATGGGTTTCAAAGTGATGGTACAACTTATGAATAAAATGTGGAATAATTAAACCAAGCTAATCAACATTTCTGTCACCTTCCATAATTATTTTTGTGGGGACAGCATTTGAAGATATTCTTAGTTTGAAATACGTAATATATTGCTAACTATATTTACCACATTTGGTAATAGACCTAAGAATGAATAAAAACAAAATCAAAACCATGTTCTTCCTGCCTGCCTGAGGCTTTGCACCTCTTGGCTATTGTCTTCACCATCTAAACCTCTCCTCAACTCCTTATACCCCTTACTGTCTGCCGTAAGAATGACCAGCGTTCCATTCTCTGCCTCTGTACATTGTTATAATGCTGTATGTTAGTAAGACCCATGGTATATGTCTATTTGTGCCTGACTGGCTTGTATTACACTTAATTTAATAATGTAGGACTAAATAATGTTTCCTCAGGTGCTGAAATATGGGTGATGAAAATCATTTTCCCCATGGACCCAGGAAAAAGGAAAGCTTTTTGTTTTGTATGTGGCTTGACAACATCTCTCTACTTCTGTCTCAACCCGATGGATTTGCCTAGTGTCTCTGACACGCTATAAGATTTCTCAAGCCTCAAATATACATTTTTGAAGAAATTGCTTTTCTTAGAAATTTAGGTTTAGTCGAGAGAAGTGAATAGATATTTTAGCGTGGCTTACAGTTTAGACTAGGAGTGACGCTTGGTTTAGAAACAGGAAACCTTGTTTACCTTTCTGGCTGTGGCATGAGATTTTGACTAAGTCACTTAAGCGACTGGCATACCTGCTTTCCTATGACTATAGCCAGAATAATACAGCCACGTAATGAGAGAAGAGCTAGGAAAGCTCCGATACCTTGTTACTGAAATACAGAGCACATGTGAGTGTATGCTCTGCTTTGCAGCCAAGCAACTCTGTATGATCCATGCTATTGGGAGCAGTGGGGAAGGAAGACACGAAACATGTGGTCCAAAGTCTTCTTTCAACTATAAGTAGCATTTAAGTCTGATCATTGTGCTATTTGCAGAACTACTGCCAAAAAACCAAAGAGAACCTTGGGAGTCCTATTCTTCCCAGATACGAGTAATCATCTGAGGAGATACAAGATGCACCAGAAGCCAGGCAGGCCATGCAAGAAAGGAGGGGAAAAACAGACCTGGAGTGGGTCTCTCTCAACCTTCCCAATGCTGCGACACTTTAATACAAAATGCTACTTCATAACTGTAATTTGGCTACTGTTATGAATTGTAATTGCAAGTATTTGTGTTTTCCAATGATTTTAGGCGACCTCTGTGAAAGGGTCATTCTATACCCAAAAGACTGAGAACCACTGACCTAGATGATTCCCTAAAAGGGGGAGAGTGAAAATATAAGGAATACTTACATTAACACACACTAGTAAGCAAATTGTAATCAAGGGAAAGTCTGAGAAAGAGTCCTAATATATATATACACACATAGTTTTTGACACTACATGTTACCACGGAACCCAGGGTGGCCTTGCATTTTGTGATCCTCCTGCCGCAACCTCCTGACTACAGACATCTGCCACCACCCTGAAGTAACACCTCTTATTGGTCTGGGATCCCTGGTGTTTAGCACAGTGTCCGGAACACATTCCACTCCACCTGAGCATCTGGAATGACTGACAGCTGCGGCCATGCAAAACCCCTCAGGGCTTTAGTTCTTACTCAGTGCCACTTACCTTATGCCACCGAGTCTCTCAACAATCTTATTTTAAAGACTAAGGGAGTGAATTAATAGGTGTCTTTGATTTCTGGGTTCTCAGCACCTAGGCTTCTTAGTGTCAAATCCAGTACTTCTCCAGAACAGAGGTTTCTGCATTGTCACGGGGCCAGTGGGGATGACCTCCACATCCCTCATGGCAATTGCTACTCTGCTGCTCCTGTTTCCCCCACACATGCTAGGTTTCTGAGAATTCCAGATAAGCAAGCAAAATTTACAGGAAAGTATCTCACAGGCATGGGTACTTGGTAGGTGTAGTAGACCTAATACATAGTTCTAGGAAGGGATGGGAAATTTTTCTGTGCCTTTTAGCTTCCTGATGGTTTATTGACTGACTTGTGTGCCTTAGAGTGGAACTGAAAACTCTTACATGTAGCACCTAGTTTGTGACATGTTTTCATTTGATCTTTCTTTTATATAGGTTCCTCAAGACATTGTTTTCTTAGCTCCGAAGACTGACTTGTGACTTTTCTTTAACCCTATAGTTTCATCCTGCTGCTGCTCCCTGAACCCCCTGCATCTGGCTCAGAGCCTAAGCCCCAACCAGGTGTTCACTCGATAGCCAGAGAATGCTTAAATAAATTAATCGTGTGTGTAAGGACAGACTGTGGTTAAATATGCTTTGTTCAATCTGATGATAGCTAAAATATTAAAACCAAACATAAATTATAATTTTAACTTTTTATTAATACCAAGGATCAAACTTCTATATTAATTTTTTTCTCAAATTAAAATATAATTACATCATTTCCCCTTTCCTTTCTTCCCTCTATCTTCCCTCTATCTCCTTTCATATGCTCCCCATCCCTCTCAAACTCATGGCTTCTTTTTTCTTTAATTATGGTTGCATATATATATATATATATATATATATATATATATATATATATAGTGCATAACTGTATAAGTAAAACCTGCTGAGTCTATTTAGTGTTGCTTGTATCTATATGATTTCAGAGTTGACCACTTAGAATTGGATAACCTGACCTGAAGGCCTTTTCCCTGAATCTTTCTTTAAATTTGAACTTTGCAAGAATTGTTTGTGTTCACAGCAATGACACATTTAAAAATAAAAGTCTCTGAATTGCAGTTTCCCCCTCAATTTCTACACTTTAGGAGTTTGTAGAGCTGCTATTTTGAAACTGTGCACTATGATGTTACCTTTGCCTTTCTTGGGTACCACTTCCTTGCCCATTCTTGGCACAGGTTGGATCTCCTTCATATACTGGGGTAGGTGTGGGTACTCCTTGCCATACTGCATGTGAGGCATCTCCTTGCCCATGGAAAGGCCATCTTTGCCCAAAGGCATGTGAGGTACTTGCTGGCCTAGGGGCTGGTATTGTGGAATTTGCGGTGGTATCTGAGGAGGAATTTGAGGTGGCAGCGGCTTGATTCCATAATAGGCACCAGCCTGAGTGAGCCTGAAGGAGCTCAGAGAAATGGTGAGCAGCACTCCCAGCAGCTGTAGAGGCCTGGGCGGCACAGCCATCACCTGTGGAGAAAGGAGCACATCGACACAGTGAGGACCTACAAGCCAAGGGACTGATGTCTGCTGAGAGACAGAAGGTTAGGTGAAGTGGGCACATCCACAGAACTGTAGAAGAGGAAGGACAACGGAATCGAGATGTCAACTTTTAATAAATATTAGAACAAACGCCAGAGGAATTGGCTAGGCCAAATGAAGGCAACTGGTGAAATACAGACCAGGGATTGCTAATGTGTCAAACACCAATTCTGCGATTTTCTCATAGTGTCAGAAAACCCGACTTTTAGCTTGGGATAGAGCAACCTAGGATGAAAATATTCAGGGAGATGATATGACCGGATTTTGCCAATTGAATATAGTTGTACTAGTTGCTACTTCTTAGAAGGCTCCTTAGAGGCAGGAAGCATGCTCTTCTGTCTCTTTCTCCTTGCTGGCTGGATTGCCAATATGTTGCCTGGAAATGGACCAGACCCCCTGGGACCATGTCATCAAAGCTATGCACTGGGGACTGTAGAACAACAAACTTGAACCCTGGTTGACCATGGAGGAGCTACAGCAATCCTTAAACTGAGAGGAGAGAGAAATTGTGTTTTATCACTTTAATTTACTTTTACTCAGACAGTAGTAACTTCGCTCAATAGGACAGTTTTCCAGCTGGGTGGCGTATAGGCCTTGTTAATAGACGCTGGACTTCTAACTGGAAACAGTTAAACATGTCTGGTCTATGGCAGGAGCAGAGATTGCTCATCTGCTAAGCGCTTTTCTGGAAGCTTTGATGGGTCATAAATACACGTAAGTATGAATGTACAATAAGTGTGAAAGCAACACCAGGAACTACAGGGAGAGGGCATTCCATTTGATAGTGCCAGGAGGTCATTAAAAATCACTGTCATAGTTATGTTCTTCTTCCTTCTATTTAAACACTATGAAGTGATTAGCTCAGAATTTGGCTAACTGGAGCCAGAGTCCATTAAAGTTTATCTTTGAAGTTTTATGAAAGGAAGGGAATTTACAAAGCAAATTAGTTGTATAAATAAGATAGAAGGAGATGTCTGACTATTCACAAGAACAGACTGTTTCTAAGCTATTTAACGGCGCTCTTTGCAAGTCAACCACTAACAGAATAAATTTAAATGGGGGGTTTATCTGTTTATAAAGACCAGCTTGAGGAGACCTCTGCTTGGTAACACCCTAGGCTGGAGACCAAATAGCCCAGGAAAATGCAATGTGAGCAAATGGACACAAGGGGGCAGGCATAGAACACTGGGAAGTCTGCTCAGTGCTCCCCACCCCCACCACCGCGGACCTGTACTGGCCCTGAGTTCCTTCTGTGCTCACATACCTGATTAAAGGACTAAGTGAAAATTAGAGTGTGTCATAATGCTGGAGAATGAGAAGCAGCAAGAGTCCCACATTCTTTAATGTAACTATGCCCTGGGACACCTCAAAATTTAATTTCTGTTTCCATGGGAGTTTTTCTTTACAATTCTGTCTAACTTAATTCTAGATTACAGCGTTCGGCTTTGGTGTTGAATTTGTGACATCCAGGCAAAAGGCAATGCCAGGAGTCTGAACAGAATACAGAAGGATTGGTTAATTAAAAAAAAAAAATCCAAAACAACAAGCAAACAAACAAACAACCAAAAAACAAAACTAAGGAAATATTTAATGTGACTCCCTACCAAAAAAATTCATTGCTCTCCGTTTTTATAAATATACAAATTAATCATTTTTCCCTCCAAGGAATAAATGAAGCACACTAACCATTAAAATGATTTATAAAGCATTCTCCGTGATACAAATCAGCATAGTTGCAAGGAAGAACTGTTTATTTCAAGTGTCTGAGTAAGACATGGGCTGGTAAGAGGAGTCAGATATTCTTGTTATGTTCTGCCCCTCTAAATGATTAAGTGGTTACTAGAAGCCATTTGGAAAGAACCATAAAATTAGTACTGATTTATTTTTATTAATACTAACTTATTTTAGGTGTAAAAGAACATCTGCTGTAAAAAATTCAGCCATAATTCATTAGATTCCTATCAGAAACAGTGCTAGACCCACCCGAGAAATACAAGGTTGAATATAATATGGTCAATGAATCCTGGCCTCAGGAAGCTGCACTGGAAGTGACAGAGGTACACACCTTTAAGGAGTAGCAATGTGCACTGAAAAAAGAATAAACTTCCCATCAACTCTTATTTCCCATTGCTCCTCCATGTTCTTTTTCCAGAAATGGTTTACAAATATGCAATGCAACATAAACTTCTTTAAAACACAAATACAGCTTACTATCCACACTGCTGTTTTCTCCCTCTGAGACTGGTGCTTGGACCTTTCTTTTTGTCTAGATATGAATAGTTAAACAAATCCCTTCCAGGTCTTCATCTGTTAAAAACAGGTTTTAGTTGTATTTGAAATCCTGCCTGATTTTAATATTCAGTATCTTTAGGTGCTCTCCAGAAAGCTGAACGTGTTAATTCACACCAGAAATATGTGATAATACCTGATAACGAAGAAGCCAGGTCTTAATTAGGATGTAATTCTACCCTTCAGGGTGAATAAATTCCATTATCGAACCTTAAACATGTGGTGTTATCGTTAGTAGTAGACTTGCATGCTTGGTCTTTGTCCTTTCAGCAACGCAGCTGATGGGTCATTTTATACTTAAATCGTCTTTAAACTGGGACACACTTGTGAAATGCTGGGGAATCAGAAGGCAACAAAATGCCTAAAAGACCAGGTGAATCCCCAGGGCTCGGCAGGACCCAGTTTCCCTTTACACACCCTCTCAGAGGCTTGGCCTTTCTCGCAAACCACCTCACCCAGTCGGCCCTCTGCCGTTTCTCTGGCTCTTTATTTAAGTAAACTTTGCTCAGTTTTAGCTTCAATATTTATGAAGGGGCCCTGGTTAGAATTTACCGCCTGACTTATCCCTACTAATTTCCTTCTGGTCCCCGAGGATGGGTTTGGTGGTCAAAGTGGTGTGGTGGTTCTCTCATATAACTCAAAGAAGACCAGATGTATTACAATATCCAAACACCTGCAGGGAAGAAGCTGGCTTAGAAGCCCTGCTGGGAAGTGATGGGAGTGGGTTTTCTGGCCTCTCTTTCCTTTCTGAGGATAGGAGCACAATAATATGCTGTGAGTTTTCTCTGTTACATATTTTCCTTGCTATTTTTTTCATGATTTGTGTGTGTGTGTGTGTGTGTGTGTGTGCGCGCGCGCGCGCATGTGCGCACAAATGTGCATACTTGAAGATAATATCTAATGAGAATATTACCATTATCTTTACCAGCTGGAGGGACTAAGGAATGGCTCTCATTCCATATGAAACATACACTCTCGAACTCAAGATACTTAGGTCTGACTTTTAGCTCTGCAATCCTCCATACTTAATACTTGGAAAGTCTCTTATCTTCACTGAGCCTCAGTTTTCTCACCCATGACACAGAAATTACAATCTCTGCCTACCCCTCGGAGCTGTTACAAATAGTAATACGAATTTTTTTGTAAGCTGAAAGGCACTGTTTAAATGTAAGTTATTACTAAGGGAACACAACCAAAAAGACAAACCCAAAACCAACTGAAATGCAAAAGGCTTTCAAAGGTGGATACTAGCCAAAGCAAATGAGAGGTTAGGTTAACTGCAGTAACGACAAACCAAACACGAACAAAGCAATGGTGGCCATGAAAATACACCCATTAAATATGACAAAAAAAAAAAGAACAGTTGAACCAAAGCTGTCATTTATTCTGGTGTCAGATTTGCCAATCCTCATCACTTTGAATAGCTTCCTGAATGTTCCCTGGTTGGAATGAGTTTGAGTTCCCTTATGTGACCTGTAATGTACACATAAGACTACCATGATATGTATTATTTTAGATGCTCTAAGCATACCCTTTGTACGTTTATCCTCATGAGATTTGGGGTTGCTATATAAAAGAATATTTAAGTATTTAACCTTCAGTCTTTGCTCTGTATCAAACTTAGTCTTGTGCATATATACGTGTTTATGGTGTAGTGTGGACAAGCCCCTCTTAGTCTTCTAGGCCTCCTTGTCCTGACACAGGGTTTTTCAAGAGCCTTAGATTTGCCATCCTTGAAGAAAGGGAAAATGAGGCAGAATCTTCTCCCAGTATTTCCCAGAGTTGCTTTTCTGTGTATCTTAAAGAAATTTATCTCTTTGCTGACTGTACACTGTCCAAATCGGACCAGGAGGATGCAAAAATGGTGACTGCCAAACTTTGCCAAGGTAAGGTAGGACAGTACTCCCTGCATATTAACAATGTCTGTCAGATTACTAGGCCTATAGGCCAAAGTTGGTTGCCCCAACATTACAGAAGGGCCTAGAGTGACTGTCCAGGCAGTCAACTGTTTCTGTCATCTCTTAATTTTGGAAGTTGCTTGCTCTGAACTTCCTGTTTACTCGGGTAATATTATAACATTCTCAGATCTTTCATGGGGTTGAAGACTAGATAGTTACAGTTACAGTTCTCCCTAATCATGGTAGAAAGTAAATTAGGTATGAAATTCTGGACTCTCCAGGAGAGGGCAGCTGATGAAGTATTTTCTCTATTTTACCAAATACAAATGGACTGGATATTGTAACTGTAATTCTTACGTGATAACTTTATTTGTTGTAGATACTTTTACTATGTTAAAGTTAAAACCTTCCTTTTTAATTAGACAAAAGGGGGAAATGCTGTGGAATAATCCTTTTAAACACTGTGAAGACATGTTGCTCTCATTGTTAATAAAAAACTGATTGGCCAATGGCTAGGCAGGATTTTCAGGCCAGAGAGAATGATGGGGAGATGCAGAGTTGCTGTGAACTGCAGAAATATGAAGTAGGAATTCAACTGACTATGGCAAAAGCTATTACCCGGAAGAGTTAAGAACTCTTCCAGAGGATAAAGCCAAGACTTAAGGAGACTTGGCTGTTGAATATATTAGCCATTTCTGCAATGAATTTCCTGTGTGCTATTGTAGCTTTCCCATTTGATTC